GCAGACAGACTGCAAGCTTGCTAAAATAACATGGTTCAGAGACTACATTGCCATACGTATTGATCTTTAGCTCAGAAAAGGAGACTGTGACAAATTAGGAATTGCAATTTCCATTATATCTTCTGTGAGAAAGTAATGGCTAAGAGGTAAATAACTAAAAGAGAATCCTCACACATGATTTGGCAAGCTATTTTTATGTAGCTGTAAATTTAATTTCCTTATGCTGTATGCAGAAGAGTTATCCTGGTAGCTGGTTTAGCAACCTCTATGAATAGAGATGGGCAGAAGACATGATAGGCAGGAACAATTTACTTCCTAAGGCGCTCATAAGGAGATGCTAAAATAAGAAGAGGGGCTTGTGGGTGGCTCAGTCGGTTAAGCATCCGAGTCTTGAGTTCGGCTCAGGTCATGGTCTCACAGTTTCTGGGATCAAGCCCTGAGTCGGGCTCTGAGCTGACAGTGCAGAGCCTGCTCGGGATTCTCTCTCTTCCTCTCTCTCTGCCCCTCCCCCACCCGTGTGTGTGTGTGTGTGTGTGTGTGTGTGTGTGTGTGTGTGCACGGGCGCGCACACGCGCACTCTTAAAAATAAATTAAAACAAAAAAAAAGAATCTACTTGGAGTGCCTGGATGGCTCAGTTGGTTAAGCGGCCAACTCTTGGTTTTGGCTCAGGTCATGATCTCACGGTTCATGAGTCTGAGCCCTGATAGGGCTCTAAACTGACAGCACGGAGCCTGCTTGGGATTCTCTCTCTCCTGTCTCTCTGCCTCTCTTCGTTCTTGCTATCAAACTAAATAAATAAACATTTAAAAAAAAAAAAGGGAATTAGAAATAGCTTCAGAATTTCTTTTCTGGAACTTCTGAAAAATAACCTCAAAATTATAAGGGCATGTAGAATCCTAATCTTTCAAGATCAGGGCAATAAGCAAGTTCTCTAAGCAGGCGGGCACCTTCTCCTGCCAGTACAGAGAAATGCAGAAAATCTATTTCCAAAAAGTCTTCTGGTTTGCTGGTTCACACAAATTTTCATTGGCTTTAGTTCAATTTAACAAGCAGCTAGGAAGTGCTATTGAGTACTCTCTGGGACACTGGCTCTGCAAAAAAGAAATGTTATCTTCTGTATTGGAAAGAACCTCAGTGGTTTGAATTTAACTCCCCTGATATACAGAAGAAATGGTAATCCAGAGAAGTTAAAGGACTTGTCCAGATTCAAAAAGCAAGTTACTAGAGTAATAGCATTGGGAGTCGAAATCAAAGGAAGCAAAGTGTCTTTTCTTCTGTACCAGATGATTTCCACTATATACTGGCTCACATAATATTGAAAGAATATCTATTTTTTATTATTTTTTAAATAACAAAGGTAACCACACATTTATGGTAATAACACAGAAGTATATAAATAAAGCAACGGTAAAAATATTCCCCTGAAATCCCATCTTGTTAAAGGTGTTTATCCTTGCATACATATCCTTTGTTTATAATCATGAAAACATACACATATATAGTACATATATCGGAGCTTTTGCCTTTTTTTCCCCAATGAAAAGTACCCCCAACTTAGTATATACCCAGTTAGTCTGTCCAGCTACACATGTCTGACTCAATGCTTTTAATAGTTTCATAATATTCTATGCTTCAGTTGTACTATAATTCAGTCAACCATTCATTCTTCTTCAGATGGAATTCAGGTTGTTTCCCTTTTTTCCTGGAAATATTTCTTTTTTTTTTTTTAATTTTTAAAAAATGTTTTATTTATTTTTGAGAGAGAGAGAGAGAGAGAGGAGAGAGAGAGAGAGAAAGAAACAGAATGTGAGCTGGGGAGGGGCAGAGAGAGGGGGACACAGAATCCAAAGCAGGCTGCAGGCTCCGAGATGTCAGCACAGAGCCTGATGCGGAATTTTAACTCACAAGCAGAGAGATCATGATCTCAACAGAAGTTGGATGCACCAGAAGCTGGATGCTTAACCAACTGAGTCACCCAGACGTCCCATCCTGGAAATATTTCTATAGTACAGATTCCCAGATGGGACATAAAGAGTATTCACTTAAAAAAAAAAAAAAAGTTTATTTTGAGAGAGAGAGAGAGAGACACAGAGAGAGAGGGGAAGGGAGGGACAGAGAATCCCAAGCTGTGGGGGAAATAGGTTCTACTCACATAAATGGGTTAGAAAAAAGCTTAGGGTGGAAAGTCACCACCACAGGGTGAAAGCGCCTAAGGTTAGCTAGCAAGGTACTGTAATGGGATCAGGAGCAGCTTGTTATATCACCTGCAGGAAATTACTTTCCATCTAGTGCCAATGTACCTTGCTAACAAACTCCACTTGCTCCCCCAGACCCTTTGTTTCTTACACACACAAGTTAATGATTACTATCTGATTGTTTTCTTCACGTTCACCACGTGCAAGATCTTGAGCGCTCAATAAATACGGAGATGAAAGCCCTGTTAGGGGCTCTTGTCTCCTCCCGGGCAATAGCCTCTTTTGTATTCAATTCTGCATCCGCTCTCTTGCTGGAAAAAAAAGAACTCCAGACTCACAGTTTGCAACACCAAGCAGGCTCTGCACTCTCAGTGCAGCCCCATGTAGGGCTCAATCCCACAAACTTTGAGATCATGACCTGAGCCAAAATTAAGAGTCAGATACTCCACTGACTGAGCCACTCAGGCGCCCGGAAATATTTTTAGTATCTTCCACTTCAATAAATATCTTATTCTAAGGGGCACCTGGGTGGCTCAGTCAGTTAAGTGTTGACTTCAGCTCAGGTCGTGATCTCATGGTTCATGAGTTCGAGCCCTGAATGGGGCTCTCTGCTGTCAGCACACAGCCCGCTTTGGATCTTCTGTGCCCTTCTTTCTCTGCCCCTTCCCTGCTTGCACTCTCTGTCTCTCTCAAAAATAAACAAACAAACTTAAAAAATAACTTGTTCTAACCTTCATTTCTAGACCTGGTAATGAACTATATTTTCAAATGTTCATTGTTCACTTGTATTTCAGCTTCAGTGGGCTACTATAAGTCTTTCATGCCAATTTTCTATTGTGTTGGTTTTTTTTTTTTCTTGTTGATTTATATGGTTCCTGGGGTGTTTTTCTTGGTTTATTTATTTATTTATTTATTTTTTGAGGATAGTTCACACACAATGCTACATGAGTTTCAGGTGCACAAATAGTGATTTGACAACTCTATACATTATGCTGCACTCACCACAAGCGTGGCTACCATCTGGGTATGGACTTTTTAGTTTTGTAAGATGAAAAGAGTTCTAGAGATTGGTTGTAGAACAATGTGAAAATATATATATATACATTAAACGTTTATTTATTTTTGAGAGGGGTCAGGGGCAGAGAGAGAGGGAGAGAATCCCAAGCAGGTTCCACACATCAGCAAAGAGCCCGATGCAAGGCTCAAACCCATAAACTGTGAGATCATGACCCGAACCAAAATCAAGAGTTGGACACCTAACCGACTGAGCCCCCAGGCATCAATGAACTGTACACTTAAAAATGGTTAAGACGGTAAATTTTACCACAACTAAAACTAGAAAAAAAAAAAAAGGCTCCCACCCAAAAGTTATACAAATATTTTCCTCTAACTTCTAATATTACCATGGTTTTTCATGCTTAGTCCTTCAATCTGTCTTGTTGATTAGTATGTATCCCTGTATATAGTATGAGATACAGACCACATGTTGTCATCCTGCAGGAATTAGTAGAACAGTATCATTTACTACTTCTTCTCTGAGTCCCCTTAAAAAAACAAAAAAAAACAAAACCCCAAACAAAGCAACATCTCTGGGTGGTAGGATTATGGATGATTTTTATTTATTTTTTGCTTTTCTGTGTTTCTAAAATTTCTATGTTGACATATGGTACTTATGCCATCAAAAATATAGAGGACGTTGAAACATTATTACAAGATGTTAACTAACTTGGATTTAAATTAAAAGCATATATATAGGAGACAAATCATCATTCTACTTAAAGCAATCAGTGAACAGCTTAATTATAATTTAATACGTTGGCAGGCCTGAGTCCACAGTCAGGGGAAAAACAGAAAGCAACAAAAACAAAATGCCACCCCATATATCATTTATAACCTACGACAGCAAAATAGGGAGGACAGGAAACAGAAGTAAGGTAATATCTGAGTCTTACCACCTGTCGGCTAAAATATCAGGCATCTTACATACACTATCCTGTTTAATCTCCGTAACAACACAGTGAGATAAGATGCTCGGACCCTCACTTTAGAGGCAGAAGCACAGGCTCAGATAAACTGATACCTTACCCAAGGCCATACAGCCTGTCATTGGTGGGGTAGAGATCTGCACCTAAGCCTCCTTGCTAAAACAACAGCTAATGTGCACAGCACTTGTTATGTGCCAAGAACTCTTTTAACCCTTTTACATACATTACTTCATTTACTCTTCAGAACAACCTCTGAGGCGGGAGCTGTGATGATGCCCACTTTACAGAGGAGGCAACTGACGCACAGGGAGGTTAAGTTTCTTGCCAAAGTTAATACACCTAGTAAGTGGTAAGCTGGGATCTGCACCCACACTGGCTCCGGAGTGCAGGCTCCAGGTTCTTAAGTACTACATGTCACTCCTGAATTTTATACTATGCTGCTGCCTTTCCTTCCTCTTTTCATCCAGAATGAGAAAACTACTACTTGGTATTTGAAATAATTTCTAATTCACAAGACTCCAAACATCTTGAAATAATAACTTGCATAATATTTTACAATTTAGAAGGTGCTTTTACACACTCTATACCATTTAATCCTCCAAATAGTTATGGGAAATAGATAGGGAAGGTATCCTTGGTTTATAGTAGAGCTCAGGGTGGCAAAGTGACTTGTCCAAGGTGACACCCTTTCTAAAAGGTTAAAAACAGGTCTAAAACAGGTCTTTGTATTTCTTACAGAATGTTCTTTTCAACTACATCATGCCACCTGGCAAGGGGTAGCTGAAAAATATCCCTCCTTCTGCCAAGATGCCGGCTTACCTAGACGAGCCCTCGTCCTGGGTCCCTGCATCTGACTTCGCAGTTCAGGTCTCAGATGAAACTTCTTTGCTTCATCAACTAGATCCCTGCACTGTAAACTACAGCGGATGAAAGGCTGAAATACAGCAGGCAGTAAAGTGAGCCACAGGGGTCACGTCTTTAATATTACGAGTATAAATGGCACACATAAGAATTCACTTCTTGATATAGAAAACCAGTTTATAAAGCCCTGTGGTTCCAAGAGGGCTGCTGGTAATAACTACATTGCTGGTTTCCAGAAATGATTAAAAAAAAATTTTTTAATAGACAATATATTATTACATGGTTCAAAAATCAAATGACATAAAAAGATATACTGAGAAGTATTCCCTATCATACCTCGGCACTAGGCAGTAACTATTTTAATTAGTTTGTCTGTACATCCTTCCAGTGATTACACAAACACAAGTATGTAATAGCTAACAAAAATTTTAAGGGAAAACCAAAAGGCTACTGTTAATTCCTGGGATGACAGGGAGAAGTAAATCTTGCCTGAAATAATTTCCCAAATGTTCACAACACTGTCACGATGCCTAGGTCTCCCCTGATGGAGCTCTGTACTGGGCAGCTCTCCTTCGTAACCTAATTCACTCCACATCCTTCTTCACTCTACTCTCTGGCTTGGAAGACTGGCCTACGTGAACTACGTCGTAGGGTCCCCACGCCCTCTGACTTCTGGCTCGGCTCAGCCAGTGAGGAGCCCTAGAGGAGCTCAGAGGGAGAAGGGGATTGAGGCCAGGTTCCCCCACTCCAGGATGAGTGGTGAATATAGGATTTCGGTCTCCTGAGTCTGACTCGAGAGTCTGGGCTGTGAACCACAATATAAGGAAACAGACACAACGGCAATATGAGTTGTTAGAAATTACAAATATGAGAAAGTGAGTTTGACATGTGACACTAATCAGCCTGCAACTTTTCTAATGTGAACTGGAAAACTGTGTTTGTAGTTAACTCTCAAAGAGGTCTGAGGCTGGGCCAGAGGAAGGAATGCATTCACTGACCTGGGCTTTAGCTATGTGCTAAACAGCAGTGTTCGCCCAAAGTACAGTCCAGGTAAACAGGTGATACATACGGTAAAAACCGTGAAAACATACCACACACAAAGAGCTGTGTTGGAGAAACACTTTTATAAATAAACACCGTAAAAAACAAACAAGTAAGTAAATAAAAATAAATAAACACACACAGTATAACCTAAATTCATATAAGAATGCATCAAATTACTTTGGTGTTGGGTTTCACAAGAGGTCAAAAATAAAGACATTTGATAAGCAAAGCATCTTTTTCAGGGCAATTTGGAACAATTTATGTTTGATGGAGAAGGGGACATTTGTCATCTGATGTTGCTTACGTGAAACACAGGGGCATAGCAAACAAAAAGACAAGAAAACAGAAAATTAAACCATAGATTTCCATTTCCAGAAGGATAACTTGCCAACCAATTATCTGGAGACCACCTAGCACCATCCTCTCTGGCACTCCTAGAGACGCTAACCAGGAGACTCTGTGCCTACAGTGAATAACCAATTTGAAGTACATAATACTAAGCTGCAAGAGATACTCATGGTTTTCGATCCCGTGTGTTTTGCCTGACTTACCTCAGCATCTATGACGTCTGTGATGTACCTGGGGGTCAGCAGGGGCATCCGGACGTACTGCAGCAGGTCAGGTAAGGATTCTTCTCGCTCCTTTTTGGCGTGCTTCACCCAGTTGATGACAGCTTCAAAGACTGGCTCCTCAGAATCCACCTATAAACGTGTAATTACACATCATGGAACTAACTCTGCCTTTCCAATGTTCTCACAATTTCAAAAAGTAACCATGCTTACTTTCTCCTTCCTGCTCCCCATCCCCTACCACCATTATTTCCTCTCTTCCAGAAACAGCTAAGCTCTTGGAAAAACAATCCTTTTCAGACACGACTCATTCAGACCAGCAAAAGAACTGCAGTCAAACTGGGTAAAAAAAAAAAAAAAAAAAAAAAAAAATCAGATAGTGCCTAATAAACCATCAGTTACAAGTGGGCTTTTACTTCAGAATTGTTTCCATTCCTGAATTTTTTTTTTTTTTTAATTTGCGAGAGAGAGAGAGAGAGAGAGAGAGAGAGAGAGAGAGAAAGAGAGAAGGGCAGAGAGAGAGAATCTTAAGCAGGCTCCATGCTCAGTGTGGAGCCCAACACAGGACTCAATCTCATGACCCTGGGATCATGACCTGAGCTGACATCCAAGAGCTGGACACTCAACTGACTGTGCCACCTACGTGGCCCTTTTCTGGTCATTTTTGAAATTTTGCAGGGGGAGGAGGAATCTGTTGCCCTATTCAAAATTTGCTATATATTTTTTAAAATACGCTCTACGCTCAATGTGGGGCTTGAACTCACAACCCTGAGATAGAGTTGCATGCTCTACTGACTGAACCAGCCAGGCACCCCCAAAATTTCCTCTTAAAACAACTTGTGTTTATAAGTGTTGTCTAACGACCTCCAGGATTGCTCCCCAACACCTCCACCCAAGCCTGTGAAGCAGAAACTTCTCTTATCTCATTATGCTATAATGCTGCAGTTTCCAAAGAATTGTCAATTAGCATCTGAACAAATACTATTTATATATATATAAATATATAATTATATGTATATATGTATAAATATATATAGAAATATATAATATATGTAATATAAATATTATTTATCAGGCACAATGCTTTGAGATGATATATGCAATTAATCATTTGGGGAACTTAGGTCTAAGCTTACATGTAACAAATTGCATAAGGCACAGCCTAAAAAACCTACATTGTATCCCTGCAAGAGCACTACATCTACTAACACCTAAGACCTCCCGAAGACAGACACCTACATATAGGTCCTGTGCCTCTTCCACCAGCGCCTAGAACGCATCTGTTCTGAGACCTTTCAGAATGTGACAGTGCCCAGACAGAGACACCATTCTGTGAAATTTTCCCAAGAACTGAAAATGCAGACGTTTCAGAAGGTTCATTCATTGGATGTACCAAAAACCTACTACGCGCCAGGCCCAGTGCTGGAAGCTGGTTATATACTGGTAACAAATGAGACATGAACCTTGCTTTTAAGTGGGGAGATAACAGGTAAGTTGGAAAAACGAACAATGCCACTTTGTCATTCTGTACTATGTAGGAAAAGTACAGGGGCTATGAGACAGAATAACACGAGATTTCCTAATTTAGGTTGATGGGTCAGAAAAGGCCTCCCTGCAGAAGAAATAGATTTCAGTATGATGGGTGAGTAGCAATTAGCCACGAAGAGTTAAGAGAGTGCTCCAAGGCAAGCAGGAGAGCACATGCTGAAACCCTAAAGCTGTACTGTCCAATATGGTAGCCACCAGCTACATATGGAGATTTATAATTACATTAATTAAAATTAAGTTAAGGGGTGCCTGGGTGGCTCAGTTGGTTGAGTGTTCAACTGTTGATTTCAGTTCAGGTCATGATCCCAGGGTTGTGGGATGGAGCCCGGTGTTGGGCTCCGTGCCCTTCTGCTCCACTCCCCTGCTTGCTCTGTTAAAAAAAAAAATTAAGTGGGGCGCCTGGGTAGCTCAGTCAGTTAAGCGTCTGACTTCAGCTCAGCTCATGATCTCACAGCTTGTGAGTTCAAGTCCCGCATCGGGCTCTGTGCCGACAGCTCGGAGCCTGGAGCCCGCTTCGGATTCTGTGTCTCCCTCTCTCTCTTCCTCCCCTGCTCATATTCTGTCTCTCTCTCAAAAATTAAATAAACGTTAAAAAAATTTAAGTTAAATTAAAAACTCAACTGCTCAGTCACACCAGCCACATTAGAAGTGCTCAACAGCCATGTGTGCCTAGCAAACTGGACAACACAATCTTAGAGCAAAAAAGAACACAGTCTGAGAAATGATACAAGGCTGGTGTAGTAGAAGGAATGAGGCAGGGGAAGAATGGTAAAAGATCAAACTGGAGAGGTAAGCAAGGGCCAGCTCAGAGAGAGCGTTAGAAGACTGGAATTTACTCTAACAGCAATGGGAACCCATGAAAAGGTTTCAAGCAAGCTTGGGATATGATCATATCAATGTTCTGTAAAGATCACCCTGACTAGCATGGGTAGAACAGATTAGAAGGGCCAAGAGCTGGGACGCCAGCTAGCACATTAGGCAAATGGTGATGGGTACTTAAGCCATAGCAGTGGTGACTGAAATTTATGCACCAAATTTATGGGAGGTGAAACTAACCCAGCCTGCTGATGGATTAGAGGCAGGGAAGTACGCAGAAGGGTGCCCACAATTAAAAAAAAAAAAAAAAAAAAAAAAAAAGACAAGCTAACAGTTGTAAACAGCTCCATGCTAGGCTCTAACACATTCTAGGTTTAAATTAGATACATCAGTTTATAATGGGGTTTTTCAATCATGAGCAGCGACCCTTGATCTTACTGAAGAGAGAATAAACTAGACTTGCAGAGAAACAGCTAAACTGGGAGGAAAAAACCTTCACATTAATGTTTCACTATGGAGAAAAATTTCCCCATAATAAATTTTCAGAGAACTATTTTATGTATCAGGCACTGATATTCTTTTTTTTTTTTAATTTTTTTTTTTTAACGTTTATTTATTTTTGAGACACAGAGAGACAGCACGAACGGGGGAGGGTCAGAGAGAGAGGGAGACACAGAATCTGAAACAGGCTCCAGGCTCTGAGCTGTCAGCACAGAGCCCGATGCGGGGCTCGAACTCACAGACCAAGAGATCGTGACCTGAGCCGGAAGTCGGACACGTAACCGTAACCGACTGAGCCACCCAGGCGCCCCAAGGCACTGATATTCTTATTTAATGATCAGAATGACCTCATGCACTAAGTAGGACTATTATCTACAGAAGAGGAAACTGAAGATTAGTGGTTAGGTTAACACGTGCCACACAGCCAAAATAAACCCCACCCTGATTCTAAAGCCTATGTTGTTTTAACCAGTACAACATACTGCTTCTGTGTTAAGTAGTATCGTTTTATATAATTAAGAGGAAGTATTAGCTGGGGAGTTAGACATCTGGTTCCTCTTTCTGGCTGGAATACAGAAGAGAAACAATGTGCCACTTGCTGTCTTTCCAGAAAAAAAAGACAGTCTTTACAGACACTGAGGGAAGAGTTCTCAAACTCTTTTCATCTGAGTTTCTGAATAAAAAAGTTTTTTGCTCTCCCTATTCCATTTAGTTTTATTCCAAAGTATATATAGTTCTATGACTACATATGACTTCTGTAACTGCTCGCTGATTTGGTCAATTAGAAACTAACTAGGCAACCAGCTCACAGTTTCATGGAACAGAACAGAATCTGGAGCCAGACTGCTCAGATATGAGACCTGGCTCTGCCACTTATTAGCTCCAGTATGACGCTTACCCTCGAAGCATCAGTTTCTTTCTCTGAAAAATGGGGACAATTTTGACAACTACATAAGATAAAATATACCAAGAATGGTGCCATTAAAATGAAAAGTCCAGAGTATAGTAATTTTTTATCTGTTGTGTTCACAATTGGATTGCTGGCACCCAGAACTGTTCTGGGCACTAAGTGCCCAATAAATATTTAATAAAGGAAACCAATAGTAAATGCTGAGTAAGTTTTAGCAATTTTGTCATGTGCAGTGAACTTTAAGTCTATATTGTTCACGCTATTTACTGCATTTCCTAATGCATGGTTAAATCAAGAAAAATCAAGATATTCTAGCAAATTACCAACTTCCCAAGTCTGAAGAATGTGCCCTTTGTCTACACCTGGCATTTCAGTGCATGGACACAATGTTCTACCACAGCAAGAGTGAGAACAAAACTTTAGCAAATATTTGTCTCAGTAACACTTGTAACACCAGCTTCTCTGGGCTAATAAGTCAAACTGGAAAAATGATTCCTCTTTATTTTGGAAACAATGTCACCAATGTACCTTAATAAATTTTCCCTCAGAACTCCGTAGGGGAAGGCAAAAAGAAAAAGTTGGCTAAAATATGATAAATATTCTTAAGATCTTATTATATTACATGAAAATTCTAGTTTTAACAAAATAAATCAGAGAGTTATTATTTGGTTTATGAAAGTAAACTATAGGATTTCTTTAGCAAATTTCTTCTACATCATTTACTTTTTAAATTTTTATTTATTTATTTTAATGTTTATTTAGTTTTTTTTTTAATATATTTTTTAAACATTTATTTATTTTTGAGACAGAGAGAGACAGAGCATGAACGGGGGAGGGTCAGAGAGAGAGGGAGACACAGAATCTGAAGCAGGCTCCAGGCTCTGAGCCATCAGCCCAGAGCCCGACGCGAGTCTTGAACTCATGGACTGCGAGATCGTGACCTGAGTTGAAGTCGGACGCTTAACTGACTGAGCCACCCAGGCATCCCAATGTTTATTTAGTTTAGAGAGAGAGAGAGAGACACACACACACACAGAGTATGAGCAGGGGAGGGGCAGAGAGAGAGAGAGGCAGACACAGAATCTGAAGCAGGCTCCAGGCTCTGAGCTGTCAGCACAAGCTCGCCGCGGGGCTCAAACTCACAAACTGTGAGATCATGACCTAAGCCCAAGTCAGATGCTTAACCACCTGAGCCACCTAGGCACCCCCAGCATTTAGAATATTAATCAGATTTTGATTCCTTCCCAATATATCTCTTGTTTAAATTGAGGTGCCACTAACTTCCGGATATCCACTAATTCAAAATTTATCTGAGCAGAGTGGGAGGAAAACAAATGAACTCTTAGCCTTCCTAGAGAAGTGAATTTCTCCTGACGAGGGGAAACAATTGTCACTCTAATTGTTAGCCTAACTACAGACCTCTGTGCAATAAAAACTCTGCTGGCTACTGGCACTATGACTTAGCATCAGGATTACCTAAGATCTTTCTTGCTGGGCCAGGTGACTGAACCCTTGCCTGTGCCCAGGTGGCTTCCCTTCTGCTGGGTGGAACACAACTCCTTCAAGACACAGTTCATATGTTCCTTCTCCCCACTCCCCCATTTCCCCCCCCCCCCCATTAGGCACTTATGATCTGCCTCCTGTTTACGGTCTCCAACCTTTTTTTCACTTCTTTTTGATCCACTTCCTTTTTGGTCTAATTTAAATGTAAAAGGTTTATTCTTCTTTCTTCTAATTTCTTCACTTTGAATAACCTCATTATTCTCACTATATTCTATTAAGTTTTGTCTTTCTCTGTCTCTACCACTATGTTGTGAATTACTGAAAACAAGGACTGTATCTTACTCACTCTTGGAGCCATAGCACCTGGCACAGATAGTTTATTCAGAATATCTACTGCTGTAGAGTAGATATTCTCCGTAAATGTTTGTAAAATGAGTGAATGAGTAATACAGAAGTGCTCTATAGAAATCTCTTTACTTCAAATTTCTGCTTATTCCACACCACTGTCTCTTCAATAGTGACTCTTAACCATTGGGATTGTATATTGAGGGAGGTGGCTAACTCCTTCCCAAAACTCCCTCCCATAAATTTGGCATAAAATTTCAGGGGTATTTAATGAAACCTTTGGAGCCAATATTGACACTTGATTAAGATGCCCTGCTACAGAAACACAGTAAATCCACCTTGCTTTTTCCTAGTTTTGTGTTTGTTTTCTTTTAGTAGGTTCCACACCCAACCCAGAGCCCAACACGGGGCTTTAACTCACGACTTGAGATCAAGACCTGAGCTGAGATCAAGAGTCAGACGTTCAACAAACTGAGTCACCCGAGTGCCCCCCCTTTCCCAAGTTTTGTAATGTTCCAGTCTTGAAGAAACCCCAATACCAAGCCAAATTTGTACCTGAATTTCATCGCACTTGATTAGCTTTTCCACTTCTCCTTGACTTAGAAGAATGAATTCTTCATGCTGTACCACTTCCGGAAAATGCTTCTGACTAAAAACCTCAGCTGCTTGCATCAGGTCAACACAATTGTGAGTTTCAGCAAAATCCCTGATACCCAGGCAATTAGAGGGGTCCAACTGACTTTCTAAGAACTCACAGCAGGCTTGCTTCACACCTAGGACAAACACAGACAATGAACACTTCAGGGTACTTGACCAGGTGTGAACTGGTTGGTCTACATTCTTGGAAGGAGACATCTTCTCTACAAGGTAACAGAGGAATCCTGGCTCAACACAGGTAAGGATCAAATTAGAAATTTTATGCTTAAGGAATTCAAATCCAATTTCTGTTTTATGTGTCGTGCGACCTTCAAGCAAGGTCTTGTGTGTCTCTGTTTCAGCTTTAAAAATAAGTATAGCAAGACAAATTGCTTCTATGGACACTGGCACAATTAAACAAAACATACTCCTGGGAACCAAGCTTTTATAAAACCAATCATAATTTAACATAATGTACCTAATTTCTACTCCCTATGAAAACTTGACTGAAAGACTCCTGCCAAGGAAAAATAAGAGCTACTAACGACAACTCCTTATTTCTCTAATTGCAAAGTTCAGAGTATAAACCTAATTTGTGCACTAATGCAAAAGCTTCAATACTGTTTTTCAATCATGTATTAAAAACAGAACACTTTCAACCAGGCATTTCGAAATACTAAAAATAACAGAAACATCAATGCAGGTTAAGAAAGACAGTCTGGAAATAGGAAGGGGGACCACCCCATATCCTGTGAAAACATTATATACTTTCATTTTTGTGTGCCAATTTAAATTTTCAATACACAATTTACGTGGCTCAAAATTAAAAGTACAAAAGAGTTTACCATGAATAACCCCCCAGCCTCCCTTTCCACCTGGCCATCTAGTTCCCTTCCATATAGGTGATGAACAGTATCAGTTTCTTGTGTCTCCTTGTAGAGCTAGTATGTACATACATGTAAGAAAATGTGTGTTATCCCCTCTTTCATTTTTTTTAAAACAGAAAAGGCCTAAATGCTCTTCTAAAGAGCCAAATGGCCACATATGGAGAGGTTCTTTGACGTTGTGATTGAGACCTGATCTTCTGTGCCGCAGGCGGTAAACATGAGCGTCCACAGTCTGTCTCCATAATTTCTGTGATTAAGTTTACCTGATTAATTCTAAGTATTTCCAAGGCTACTGTGGCATGAGCAATAGCAACTTTATCATCTGTACCTTTCAGCTGAAGCAGACAGGCTGCAGGAAGCAGTTCTTGTACATTCTCCACCGTCACATGTACAGTTTCAGTGTACACGAAGTCCAACAGAATCTCCATGGTAGAAGCAGTTAAGCCTTGAATATCAACATAAGGTTTCCCCTTCTCTGAAAGCTGAGAATTCAAAGGGTATGAAATAACAGTGGTTATGATTCCACGAGATAAAGGCAGAATCTCATACCCGAGAGCTTGAAGGGATGTTAATATTAACGCCCATCTTTAAAAAATTACGGTCGGGGAGCCTGGGTGGCTCAGTCAGTTAAGCGGCCGACATTGGTTAAGCGGCCGACTTCGGCTCAGGTCATGATCTCACGGTCCGTGAGTTCGAGCCCCGCGTCGGGCTCTGTGCTGACAGCTCAGAGCCTGGAGCCTGTTTCAGATTCTGTGTCTCCCTCTCTCTGACCCTCCCCCGTTCATGCTCTGTCTCTCCCTGTCTCAAAAATAAATAAAACGTTAAAAAAAACACAAAAAAATAAATAAATAAAAAAGTATGGTCTAATTTGTTTGATTTGTATGAAGCAAATATGGCATGTATTTGTAGCTTGTCCAACTTGGGGTAGCTGCATGCTACTCAAGAGCACACCGGGAGGTGACACCCTGGAATATTAATTTCACCAGTGAATAATTTAAAACACTGCTTTTGTAATAAAACAAACATAGATCTATTACAGGACTGAATCCAAAAGTTCTGTGAACATAGTACTAGTGTCCATGAGCTTTTAAGATAAAACACAAAATTTCAATGAGGTTTCACGCTTGTAGAGGACTCTGTGGCTTACAGCTCCAGACTCATGACTACTCATTATTGTTCTATTTGTTCTTCGAGTACTTTTTTTTTCTTCCACTGTTTATTTATGAGAGAGAGAAAGAGAGAGCACAATCGGGGGAGGGGCAGAGAGAGAGAGGGAGCTACGGAATCTGAAGCAGGTTGTCAGCACAGAGCCTGACGCACGGCTCAAACTCATGAACCTGAAACAAAGTCAGACAGACGCTTAACTGACTAAGCCACACAGGCGCCCCCGAGTACATTTAGTAATGACCAAATATTCAGGTCATCTTAAGGGGCACTCTACTGTGACACTGGGTATAACTGAATTGGTACTTTTTCTAAATATCAGATTGACTATTTTGGCTATATTGGCTATTTTGACTATTTTCACTAATTGTTTAGTGGAATATTTAGTCCCAGAATGCATCATTGCAATTATGAGTATTGAAGACGCCTGGATAATCATAGAAAATTGTTCGGCTAAGGGTATAAGTCTTTAATTTTACAGGACAGTAAACTATCTAAAAATCAATTACCTTATGAAACTCTTACTACAACTTAACCTTAGTTGGAAATTCGAATTACTCACAAAATTCCAGTGCGTTTCCATTATGAACTACACATCTTTATCATCTTTGATTCCGCCATCAGCCCAAAAGAATAATAATCAAAAAGTATTCTCTACCAAAGCCAAGAACAAAATCAATCCCTAACATTAAAAATAGCACTCGTAAGCAGGGCACCTGGGTGGCTCAGTCAGTTAAGCATCCAACTTTGGCTCAGGTCATGATCTCACGGTCCATGAGTTTGAGCCCCGCATCAGGCTCTCTGCTGTCAGCACAGAACCCACTTTGGATCCTCTGCGTCCCTCTCTCTGCCCTTCCCCCACTCTTTCTCTCTCTCTCTCAAAGATAAACACACACAAAAAACGTCACTAGAACATTGTTTTGTAAAAACATTTGTTAACTCTGCACATAGTATGTATACAAGCAGCAGAAATATATAAGTACATTTATTCCTAAAACTTCTTATTCAATAAACTATTTTCCCATCAAATAACTTAAATATGAAAATATTTCACTATCTATGAACTCAGAGCAATTTATAGTATCATTTCACACTAATATTTGCTTTACAATTTTTCAGAGTGCTTCTTACTTACTATTATTTCACCTGATTCTCACAGCAACCTGGCAAAGTAGTTAGAGGTCTGATATTATTGCTATTTATGACAAAAAGGATCTAAGGTTCAAAGAAGTTATGTGACTTAACCAAGGTCTCTTAACTAGCAAGAGACAGATGAAACTCAGGTCCTCTTGCCTCACTCAAATGACACTTTAATTGGACCACATTTGAAGAGCATTTTAGGGCGGGAAGAGAAAAATGAAATCATCTAGTTCAACTACTTTATTTTAAAGATCAACCCAGTGAAGTTAAATGGCTGCCAGAGTTCACACAGCATTGTTAAGAGAATTGAGCCTAGGACCCAGGTCTCTGAACCCTCTCCTTTATGTCAATTACTCTTAAAAATAAAGACAAAACCATCTGGCATTTTCTTGCCTAATACCAGTTTTTAAAGAAAAACTATAAAATGGTCCCTGGTGAGAAAAAAGAGAGAATTCTTTCAGAGAACTCCTTACCACTCTGAATGTGCAGAGAGAGCAAAGACAGACTATTTTCCTCCAGCTCACAGAGAACAGGATGCACGCTATATAATTAGCAGTCAGCAGTCCTGATCCATTAGTACCTTCATGCTCAGCAGCTGCTGAGAGAACCGTCCTTACCCAGTTAAATGCCAACTGCTTCTGATGCTCTTGGGCAGATATTCTTTCTGGAGGACAATATGGGATAGGGATCTGTGATGTTATATTACACAAGAGCATTTTAAAATTAGCCTGAAGTAGCTGGAATGATCTGTCAGGTTTCCATGTTTTTCCTACCAGCCATGTGACCGAGCACTGGCTCAGAGAACCATAAACTATTTTGGCTTTGAAATTGGAGAATATAAAAACCCATATATCAGAGGCTAAGGAAGCACAGTAGTTAAAATGTGTATAACGCAAGTAAGTAAGATCTGTGTAGAGCAATACAACATGTTTGTAGCTTTTCAGATACAGCATATATTGTATGGGTTTAGTGTCAGAAAATTTAGGATTAAACCCCATCTCTGTCATTTATAAGCCATGTGATCTTGGGCAAGTCATTTAATATATAAGACCTTGTTTATTCATTTGTAAAATGAGATGGTAACATCTAACCCTAGGGTGAATAACATACAACAATCACCCAACACAGTACCTGCCCTATAAAAGGTAGTTATTATTATGTAACCACCTCTCTTATTCCGATCCAACAGCAACATCTTCACTAAGATGATGAGATTAACTTAAAAAAAAAATACTGGTGGTTAAAAAGATTTTTATTTTTTTTCAACGTTTATTTTATTTTATTTTTTTTTTGGGGGGGGACAGAGAGAGACAGAGCATGAACGGGGGAGGGGCAGAGAGAGAGGGAGACACAGAATCGGAAACAGGTTCCAGGCTCTGAGCTATCAGCCCAGAGCCCGATGCGGGGCTCGAACTCATGAACCGCGAGATCGTGACCTGGCTGAAGTCGGACGCCTAACCGACTGCGCCACCCAGGCGCCCCTAAAAAGATTTTTTAAAAAATGTTGATACAATGAGATATTTCAGGCGTATTTAAGTAGAGGTATGTGATATAATACACATTGGTGTACTCATCACTCAAGGTTAAAAAATTCAAGATAATTTATTTAAAATTTAAAAATCAGACTTTAGATTTTGAAAAATAAAAAAAGTTGCGGTGCTTTCTGCTGTTCAGCTAAGAGTCATTCACAATATATTCAACAGCCTTACTCTATGTTTTAAAAGTTCTGTCAATTACTAAAGCAGTCTTTCTTTATTTTTATTTTTGAGAGACAGGGGAAGAGAGCGTGCATGAGCAGGGAGGGACAGAGAGATTGGGGGACAGAGGATCTGAAGTGGACTCCACACTGACAGCAGAGAGCCCAACGTGGGGCTCGAACTCACGAGCCATGAGATCATGACCTGAGCCAAAGTCAGATGCTTAACCAACTGAGCCACCCAAGTGCCCCAAGCAGTCTTTCTTAATACCTGTAAGCACAACCTTTTTTCTTGTCAAGCCAACCTTTTCCTTTTTCTCTTTTACTGCTCACACTCCATAGTCAGCATTTTTCCCCAAGTTATACTGCATATACCCATGCAGTCATTGAGTTATTTGTTAAGTCCTCCTCCTCTCATTTGAAATTACACTAAACTCTACATTGGTAGGATGAATACTGATTTTCTTCATATGCTGTTAGGTGGATGAGGACTGAATCCTACACTCCTCTTTCCTTCCCTCTCCCTTATCGTCCTAGTATTCACTTTAAAATATTAGATTTTGGGGGCGCCTAGGTGGCTCAGTTCGTTGAGCACCTGACTCTTGATTTCAGCTCAGGTCATGATCTTGCAGTTCATGAAATCAAGCCCCACGTCCAACTCTATGCTGACAGCACAGAGCCCGCTTTCTCCCTCTGACCTTCTCCTGCTCGCCATGCGCGTGCAAGCATGCACTCTCTCTCAAGATAAATAAATAAACGTTAAAAAATAAGTAGAATAAATAAAATATTAGACTTTGGAAGGAGAAAAATAGGAAACCAAATTTTAAAAGTAAAATCTGGGGCGCCTGGGTGGCTCAGTCGGTTAAGCGTCCGACCTCGGCTCGGTCATGATCTCGTGGCTTGTGACTTCGAGCCCCGCGTCGGGCTCTGTGCTGACAGTTCAAAACCTGGAGCCTGCTTCAGATTCTGTGTCTCCCTCTTGCCCTCTACCCCTCCCCCACTCGTGCTCTGTCTCTCTCTCTCTCTCAAAAACAAACATTAAAAATAAATAAATAAATAAATAAACAATAAGTAAAATCCAGTAGCTGACATTTGTGTTTTACCACGTGCCAGATGCTGTTGTAAGCACTTCATATGTGATTTTCTCAAATAACTGTCACAATAACCATATGTGATTGCACATTGCTGTGATTCCTAATTTGGAGATGGGGAAACTAAGACACAGTCAAAAGGCAGATCTTGACCAGAGTCTGTGCACTGAACCACCACACCACAGAAATTCACTATTCTATCAAGCTTCTATCATTTGATTCACTGAAATGAGACAACTAAAAGGTTACATGTGTGACTTTCATTTGTAAGGTGAAAACTTACCACTTACCTCACTAGTGAACATGGCACAGAAGTAATCGCTACAGGCGGCCAACACAATCCGATGGGCAGGGAAGTCTTTCTGCTCTACTCTCAGTGTCACATCGCAGAGGGTATTGCTCTTCCGGAGGGAGTTCATTGAATTGAGGATGGATTTAGCATGAGTATTTGTCATTATGTCTTTGGGGGCCATAATGCCTCCCATCAAGCAATGTGGAGAAAGAACGAAAGGGGTCCTTGGATTCTGCAACAACAGAAAAAGAAAATAAACCCAGAACATACTTGAAGGACTAGGACAACTAAAAATGTTCAATTATCAATACAAATTAAGGAGGCTTCCTCAGATATTAAGTAGAGAACATTCCTATTACTGCTCTTACCACCACAATCTAGCCACTAATAATCCCAAATAACAACGATTCTTCCTCTGAATTCCAGTATCGAGAGCCCCTACCACTCAACACTATAATCAATACTCAACTGTACTCGAAATATAAAGAAACCACACATAGATCGTATGTCTTCACAGTGCTGTTATCTCACATGATAAAATGAGAAGATAAAATCTCTTAAAGGTGCGATATCATTTAAAGAATAAGGAGATAAGTACTTAGAAGGTAGGATCTTGTTTTATTTATTTTTCATATATTTATATATCTTTTCCTGTTTATATAGTTTTCCTATTCTGGCAGGTGTACAGAATGTTTAGAAGTTAAAAGCAAGAAAAGAAAAATTGTGTATTCACCTTACAGCAATAAAGGCCAGTCAGTGAAAACGAACTTTTTCTAAAGAAGTACGCAAAGAATTATTTGTGACTTCCAAATATATCTGGATTTCTTCTTAAAATGACATTTCAAATGAGGACCAATACCTACCCTGAATAATGGAAACACTGCAAGCTTATCTACGGATTTTCATGTGATTAAATTTTTTATTTTAAAATGTGTAGCATGCCAGCGGGGAAGGGACAGTGAGAGAGGAAGAGAGAGAATCCCAAGCAGGCTCCATGTTGTCAGAGCAGAGCCCAATGCCGGGGCAGGACTCCAACTCAGGAACATTGAGATCCTGACCTAAGCCCAAATCAGGAGTTGGAAGCTTAACCAACTGAGCCACCCAAGTGCCTCTCATGTGATTAAGTTATTGAATCTCTTCTATTGAAGGGTCTTCCTACTCTACATTATTAGCAACCGTCCAGTAGTAATTCTTCTATACTAAAACCAAGAGCCTAATTATTAGGATAGAAACCTATTAAAACTCCTCTAATTTTACTGCCATAAGCAGTCACTTGCAAAGTTCACTTGTATGCATCAAATAAACTAAGTACATTTAAAAATGTACTTTTTACTTTTTTGATTGTTGACAAGCTTTAGTGACACTCGTTTTGCTTCAAGGAAAATTTCTGGGGAATGAAATGGCAGGGTTATTATGACAGTCTTACTGGAATCTACAACTTCCTGAAATGATCCAAGAAAAAAAAAAATCAAACTACAATCTTCAAGAGTCCACAACTCACGACCATGATTTTTGACTGGCACAAACAAGATCCTAAATTCTCATCTGCTCCTATGTACAGTTAGCATATTATTTTATAAGTACTCGAGAAAATCCCTCCAAAAACCCTGCAAGATCCATTTTACAGAAAAGGAGGTGATTCATCAAAGCATACAAAGTTTTTCAAAAAGAGTTTCCTTAAATCAACTTACTTCCAACTCTGGAGATGTAAGAAAAGTCTGAACAGATACCCACTTACTGTTAACCACAGGGCTCAGCCTAGGACTGGGCTTTACGGTGTCAGTGTCAAAACTGACAGTAACCCTAATGCACTGTACTCTTCCTCCTTGGGGATTCCTGCCTCATCAGGCAAAACCTCAGCCACATCACTCTCATCTTTTTGAGGTTACCTATTCGGGAACTTCCGTTAACATCTGAATAGAGGAGCTGCACCCTGGAAGACTCGGGGAGGGGGTGAGAGCGAAAAGGTGTCAAATTTTGGAAAGGGTAAATTTCAGGTAGGAGAAGAGAAGAAGGGCGTCCCCCGCGGCCCCCCCCCCCCGCTGACAACCCGGGAACAGTGCCGGCAGCTCCAGGGGGAGGTCCTGGAAGGGCGCGGTCAGGGCGAAGTTGCGAGGGGGGCGCCCCAGCCCCGCAGACCTCCCTTCGCTCCCTTCGTCTCTCCGTTGCAACCCGGAGGGAGACGATGGTTGGGGGCAGGGCCGTAAGCTGGAATCGGGGGATAGGAAAGGAAGGGCTGCCTGCCACCACCACCGTGCAACTCACCTCCGCTCGCAGGCCCACCCAGCGGCGCCGGGTCCGTTCCCAGCTCGAGGGGACCGGGTGGGGCGCGGGGCCAGCAGGCGGCTCAGGAGGAGCCCAAGCGCCGCCGCCGCCGCCCCGACCCGGAGGCTCTGGAGCCGTCAAGGTGGTAGTCCCGGCTCTAGTCTCCGCGGCCGCGCGACGTGATGACGTAATGCAGCTCGAGGCCCGCCCCCTCCCTGCCCTGGGTCTGCGTCACGTGAGGCGGCGGTGTCACGTGACCCACAGGTACGCTGGGTGGGGTTTTCGGCCCGCTTAGAGGAAGGCGGAAAGAAGGGGGGGGGCGGGGGGGGGGGGCAGCGAGGGGCGGGGTGTATAGCCCTCTTGCCCCGTGATTGGCTGAGGCCAGATTCTCCCTGAGTCTCCCCAGAAAGGGCATATTGACAGGATTCCACATTTCTTTTTTTTTTTCTTAATGTTTAAAAATATTTTTACTTATCTTTGAGAGACAGAGCATGAGGCATGAGTGGGGTAGGGGCAGAGAGAGGAGACAGAGAATGGAAGCAGACTCCAGGCTCTGAGCTGTCAGCACAGAGCCTGACTCGGGCTCGAACCCACGTACCGCAAGATCGTGACCTGAGCCGAAGCCGGTCGTTCAACAGACTGAGCCACCCAGGCGCCCCCAGGATTCCACGTTTCTAAACCGAGGAGCTGGCTGTATGTTTTACCTGCCAGGTATTCAGGAACCCTCTCACATCGAGAAAACCCGCGGGGGCTTCACATTTCTTCACGTCTATTGCCCACAATGGCCTTTTCCAGCGGACCATCGCTGTGGGGAGAATCCTCTGAGCCCTGGGCTCCACACACCTCAACATTCTCTGCATCATAATGGGGCCTATCATCACCCTCGAGGCGGTTCTCCTCCGCTTCGTGCACTTCAGGACAATCAAGTGGAAGGAACTTGTCCCTGGACGCTGGACGTTGTGAGGGAAATTGCAAAGGGTCGTATTAGAAGTCCCAGGAGTCATCATCTCCCCTGTTGCTGTTTTGCTGACTTTTCGCCAGCTCCTGGGTGCTGAATGTTCAGTTTAGGAATTTTGCTTCTAGCTGATTTTGGCACACTTACCTTAGTGGTTCAGAGGGCAGTGAGGTCCCTTAATTCAACTTCTGTGAATGTCCAAAGTAATTATGTTTCATTATACAGTAGTTCCCTCTTATCCTTGGGGAATATGTTCCAAGGCCCCTGGTGGATGCCTGAAACCATGGATAATACTGAACACTATATATATACTGTGTTTTTTCCTTTGGTAGGTATGAAGTTTAATTGCTAAATTAAGCTTAGTAAGAGAATAACAATAACTAGTAATGAAACAGTCTATAACAATATATTACAATGAAAGTTGTGTGAATGTAGTCTCCAGAAATATTGTACGGTACCCACCCTTCTTGTGATGACGTGTGAAGATAAAATTTCTACGTGATGGGATGACGTGAAGTGAATGACATAGACGCTGCGACATAACGTTAGGCTGCCACCAAGCTGGCAATATGTGCACCCGATCATCTGCTTTCGGATAATGGTGACAACTGGTAACTGAAATTGTGGAGAAGGGAAACCTACTGTACTATTTTCCTCCGTGGTGCCTTTGATTCTTTACAGATAAAACGATAGCCTAGAGAGCAGCGATCTGATTTTACATAGTATTTCCATCTTTCGTATTATATCTCTTTGACCTAGAAGTATCCTTTAGATAGAGGATTGGTACAAGTTCTGTTGGGGGCATTTGGGAAAAGTGCACCAAAATGATGAATGAAGATAACTTTAACTAAGGGATTTTCATAAATTTATCCTTCCGATGTACTCATGCACATGTAAAGTGATATGTGTGCCAGGTTGTTTGTAAATTAGATCGAAAACAAACTTAATATCCATCAGTAGGGAAGTGGCTCAATAAAGTGTGGTCTATCCATACAATCCAATACCAAGAAGCCGTGAACAGTGTGTATAGGTTGATATTGTGTAAAAGTTTGGGGAAATTTTAATATTCACATTTGCCTGTATATGTATAAAACACATCTGGGAAGACACAAAATGTTGGTTTCTTTGGAGAGACGAACTGATTGGTTGTGAGACAGCGTGGGAAAGAGATTTCCCCTCTATATCTTTTTGTGCCTTTTGAACTTTTCATCATGGGGGATTAAAAATATGTACAATTTGGAGCGCTTGTGGGCTCAGTCAGTTGAGCGTCTGACTGGCTCAGGTCATGATCTCAGGGTTCGTGGGTTCAAGCCCCGCATCAGGCTATGCGCTGACCGTGCGGAGCCTGCCCGGGATTCTCTGTCTCTGTCTCTGTCTCAAAATAAATAAATAAGCTTGGGGTGCCTGGGTGGCTCACTTGGTTGGGCATCCGATTTGGCTCAGGTCATGATCTCACAGCCCATGGATTCGAGCGAGCCCTGCATCGGGCTCTGTACTGACCTCAGAGCCTGGAGCCTGCTTTTGATTCTGTATCTCCCTCTCTCTCTGCACCTCCCCCACTCTCACTCTGTCTCTCTCTCTCTGTGTCTCTCTCTCTCTCTCAAAATTAAATAAACGTGTTTTTAAAAATTAAAAATAATAAAGTTAAAAAATATGTACAATTTATTTATTTATTAAAAAAATTTTTTTTCACATTTATTTATTTTTGAGACAGAGAGAGAGACAGAGCATGAACGGGGGAGGGTCAGAGAGAGGGAGACACAGAATCTGAAACAGGCTCCAGGCTCTGAGCTGTCAGCACAGAGCCTGACGCGGGGCTCGAACTCACGAACTGTGAGATCGTGACCTGAGCCGAACTCGGACACTTAACCAACTGAGCCACCCAGGCACCCCAAAAATATGTACAATTTAAATAAAAAGTAAAAATAGGGGTGCCTGACTGGCCCAGTCGGCGGAGTGTGAAACTCTTGATCTTGGAGTTGTTGAGTTTGAGTCCCACATTGGGTGTAGAGACTACTTAAAAATAAAATCTTAAAAAAAAAAAGTAAAAATAATCCCATGTCTTCTGGATGCAAAATGGCACTTTAATGATATTGCCTAATTCCTCTCTGCTAAACTGAGTTTTTTCATAATGTGAGAGTTTTAGGTCTTTAAGTCATGGGGATACTCTCCTTCCTACACAGTAAATTTCCAGTCATTTGGATATCTGACCCAATATCCTACAGCCCAAACTTATTCTGACTTTTTTTAGGCCCATTCTGGAAGGCGGGGGCTGGGTAAGGTAAGTCAGTCTGGTTTCATACATCATCCTGCGTTTATGGTTTTGATATTTATATTAAAGGGTTTCAGTAACAGAAAACAAGGAATTGACCTTGGAACTCTAGATCAAGCACACAGAGTATAGGGTGAATCGCTAAAACCAGCTAGGCAGAATACATTGCATTTTTGCCCCACTAGAGCATGGCAGACAAGAAAACGTACCTCTTAAATTACTCACTGAATGTAATCAAAGCAGGGCCCCGCTGCTGCTTTGGATTTCATCACTGAATCTGCACCCAGGCCCAGGTCATGTCTCCCAAGGGCTGATTACTGGGATGGGAGACATGCTAAGGTAGACCCTTTCTAGGGTAAAAGGGACTCTTTGTCAGTGGACTTTGGATCAAGGACTTCTCCCAAACAAAGGGTTTTGCTGAGCCTTTCTTAGATTGCAAGGCAGTTAGTTCTAGGACACTTCTTTCAACCTTCTCTCCCTCTTTTCTTCACGGGGGCTCAGACCTGCATCACAGCTTCATGGTTCTCCCTACCTTCTATGACTCCGTTTATGTTTTCTTTTACGTATAAGCATTTCCCCTAATAAAATATTTGCATACTTAATTTCATCTTGGTGAATGCTTCTGTAAGGACCAGACTAACAGAGCATTCAATGATTTCTTTAGATTTTATCTGTAGTAATTTAAGAGTTGGCTACTGCTCGGGGCACCTGGGTGGCTTAGTCGGTTAAGTGCCTGACTTCGGCTCAGGTCATGATCTCACAGTTTGTGAGTTTGAGCCCCGTATCGGGCTCTGTACTGACAGGTCAGAGCCTGGAGCCTGCTTTGGATTCTCTCTCTCTCTTTCTTTCTCAGAAATAAAGAAACAAAAAAATTTTAAGAGTTGGCTACTGCTCCCAAAGTTCTATGTTTAAATTGAAAATGGATGTTCTAAAGATAGAGATAAGTTAGCCTCACTCCTAATTTTTAATTTATTTATAGGGAAGGGGTAGAACCCGATTCTTAGCTTTTATTCTTGGCCTTTCTTTAATCACAGTTTGACAGTGTTTTACCATCATTTACTTGTTCTCCTCTAGTGTCTGCTATACAGCAGGTCCTGAACAAGTATTCAGGAAGTGAATGAACCATATGTATTCAGCTAGAGAAAGAAGGTATTATTATTCACTTGCTACAAGTTAGCAGTTCTGATAAAGGCAAGGAAAGATACTGAAATCAGGATAAGTGATTTTTAAAATGATCTTGGGCTTTAGGGGTGCCTGGGTGGCTCAGTCGGTTAAGCGTCCAACTTGAGCTCAGGTCATGATCTCACACTCTGTGAGTTCAAGCCCTGCGTCAGGTTCTGTGCTAACAGCTCAGAGCCTGGAGCCTGCTTTGGATTCTGTGTCTCCCTCTCTCTCTGCCCCTCCCCTGCTCATACTCTGTCTTTCTCTGTCTCAAAAATAAATAAAAACATTAAAAAATTTTTCTAAATGATCTTGTTCTAAAGCATGGGGTTTTAAGTCAGCATGATCTGCATTCAGATACTGACTCCAATCCTGTCCATCATCTTGGAAAAAAGTCTTGGTCTTTTGGGACCTTAAGTTTTTCATCTGTGGAATGGGATACTACTACCTACTTCACAGGGTTAAAGATAAAAAAAAAAAGATATAAAATAACACATGAAAAGTACAAAGATGCTTAGTAAATGTTCTCAGATCCTCTTTCCCGGGTCCTACTAGTGACAAATGAGCAAATATCAGCACACTAGGGTTCACCGCGTGCTCTGGGTCTCCGTATGTCCTCACGTACAAAACGGATGCAGTTGGCTAGGAATTTACCCAAGGGATACAGGAGTGCTGATGCATAGGGGCACTTGTACACCCATGTTTTTGCAGCACTTTCAACAATAGCCAAATTATGGAAAGAGCCTAAATGTCCATCAACTGATGGATGGATAAAGAAGTTGTGGTTTATATATACAATGGAATACTACTTGGCAACGAGAAGGAATGAAATCTGGCCTTTTGTAGCAACGTGGATGGAACTGGAGAGTGTTATGCTAAGTGAAATAAGTCATACAGAGAAAGATACCATATGTTTTCACTCTTATGTAGATCCTGAGAAACTTAACGGAAGACCATGGGGGAGGGGAAGGGGAAAAAAAAGAGAGGGAGGGAGGCAAACCATAAGAGACTCTTAAAAACTGAGAACATTCTGAGGGTTGATGGGGGGGTGGGAGGGAGGGAAAAGTGGGTGATGGGCATGGAGGAGGGCACCTGTTGGGATGAGCACTGGGTGTTGCATGGAAACCAATTTTTGACAATAAATTTCATATTAAACACAACACAACACAACACAACAAAACCCCAAACAGATGCAGTTGGAGCAGCTATGGCCTGTCGCCTTTCTGTGCTACACTAGTGGTTGGAAACTCAGATGCCCACAGGAGCTGGGCCAGCGACTCCAATGAGAGACATCAATGCACTGAGAGCACGAGCCCTGTATAAAGGACCTAGCTGCTCCTGTGCTTCAGTTGGTTGTTCCCCAACCTGTGGGCCAAACGAAGCATGTTTGTGGAGGTCTGGGCCTGCAGGTCACTCTGTGACTTGTGCTATCCAGCTCTTTAAGTACTTTTTAAATTTTCAATTGTTGCGTATCAAAGAGACAGATTTCCTGCACGTAGGCAAGAAAAATAATCATGGTGTGAGCAACACCCAGGAACCCACCACCTAATTGAAAAGAAAAAAGTATAAGCTTTACTTCAGACATGTTCTGTGTGCCCCTCTGTTCTAATCCTGTTCTTACCCCTTCAGAGGTAACCGTCTTCCTTTTCTTTTTTTTAAAGTTATTTATTTAGAGAGGGAGAAAAAGTGCGAGCGGTGGAG